TTGTACTCTACCATGATTTCTTTTCTGCCCATGTTAGCTTGCACCATTATCCGTTAGAATAGTGGACGGGGTACCAAAAAGCGATACTGTCACACAACGTATTGTTTTAAGCCAAGTGAAATTAAAGAACAATATAACGGTGGATTACAGATTGGCAATAAATGCTTTCGCGGACGGCATTATGAGGACTGTTGTTTTTCTGTGTCTGATTATTTACTGTGTGCCTCCCCCTGGAACCTTTTTGACACTGGCCCCTCTTTATCCTTTCGCCTTTCCACCCTGTAGGCTATTGTTGTGACCGATGGTGAGCGCATTCTCGGCCTGGGTGATTTGGGCGCCTACGGCATGGGCATCCCAGTGGGCAAGCTGTCCCTTTATTCAGCTTTGGCCGGTGTCAATCCTAGACAATGCCTGCCCATAGTGCTTGATGTGGGCTCCGATAACCAGGATCTGCTCAATGTGAGTCACCCCTCCATTTACATATGTCAAACAACATATTAATAGGGGTTGCCTTTCTGCCAAACATAGGTCAGTGCATAAAAGTATTTCTTACACAGCGGCATGCAGTCGACTTTGAGCTATTTTCAAGTCCGTAATTCCTAAAGTCGCCCTCCAACTTTGTGTGATTTTGCCATACGGGCGCACCTGAAACCTAGTGGGAGTAAAATAGATATCTGGAATGACTGTCATTAATGAACTCGTGAACATAATCGTGCACCTAGCAGTCGCTTGTTATTTTACAAAGGCCCAGGCTATGTGCTGAGTGTGTTTCATCTTGCCGACTTAATCTCTTCCCAGGTCACTCGTACACTTTGTTGGTGCACCGACTTTTTTCCCTGCCGCAGTCCACTCATCTTTCGATGGTCTTGTTTTCCCTATAATCAATTATATCCTGAGTTGCTGTAGCGCTATAAATGCCCATTTCCATTGTGCTTCAGTGCTATACATTTACATGAACGCATCCTCGGAAATTGCTGTCGTGGTACATATTTTTTAAAGAAAGCGGAAAAATCGTTTTATGGCTTCCTAAACACCGAGCTTCTCATAACGATGTTGGCTGATTTCACGTACCTAATAATAGTCATTGCGTCCATAACTAAAAAATTGCGGGAACTCTAGTAGCAGGTTCTGGGAGTTCCCACTGCCAGGAAACTTTAGTTCGCAGGCTTCGTTGCCAGTCTCAAGCGAACCTGATGCTCTGGTGCACAAATATTTAAAACTTGCTTAGCTATATGTACCAATTCTTATCGTGTGATAAATATCTCATACCTAGGCGATATACTGATAAGGTGAATAGATCGGGGGTTGATTGTACCATCGACTGGGGATATTTTGACCTACACATCACCCCCAGCACCTTTACCATCGACACTGCTCGACA